TTTGCAATGAACAACTCAAAAAGGAAATTAAGAAAGCAATTCCATTTATTTAAAAAAAATTAAACAAATAAAATACTTTGGGATAAATTTAATCAAAGTGGATGACTTGTACACTGAAAACTACAAAACACTGTTGAAAGAAATTAAAGAAGACCGAAATAAATGGAACAACATCCCATGTTCACCAGATTAGAAGACTTAATATTGTGAAGCTGGCAATACTCCCTAAATTGATAAACAAACTCATGCATGTCCAGAGTGGGCAAATTCATAGAGATAGAAAGTAGAATGTGTTTGCCTGGTGATGGGAGGATCTGTTAACAAGTATGGGATTTTGGAAATGTTTTGGAATAATGGAAATGTTCTGGAATTAGATAATGCTGATGGTTGTACAACAGTATGAATATACTAAAAACCACTGAATTCCACACTTTAAAAGGGTTAATTTTATGTTTGTGAATTACATCTCAATTTTAAAAAAAGAAAAAATAAATAAATAAAGGATAATCATATGTGGACCAATGATGGCAGTGTCAGGAATTATGAGTGATTTGATTCTGTGCACCTAAGCTCCCCCACTCCAGCACCCCAAACAAAGACCAAGGGAAAAATGCTGAAGGCCTGAGCAAAGACCTGACGGCTCAGGATATGGGCAGGTAGCATCACACTCAAGAGGTATTTAGCAGGCACAAGTAGCAGGGCTGGTGGGAAAGAGAAGAGCAGGGTAAAAAGACAGGTTTTTGAAGCAATAACTGAGAAGAAGGTAGAGTTCTTTACTGAGATAACAAAGGGAAAGAAGTAGGTTTACCAGAAGGAGAGGAAATGGAATGTTAATCTTTGGACCCTATTGAGTTTATGGCTCCTGAGGGACCCCAGGCAACCACTTAAGAGACAGATGGATGCACGGGTGTGGAACTCAGGGGAGAGGCTGAGTTGTTCTGGGTTGAAATGGTGGATCTGGGAATCGTCAGCACATACAAAGTGGGTGAGATTGCCAGGGGTATCCTGATGGTAAGAATTATGAGTGATCATAATTTACGCACAGAGGGGAGGGAGAGGAAGGACAGACATAAAGGATAATCAGAAGAGAGGGTACTGGGGGCATCAGAAGGAGACAAATACCAGCAAGGAAGCTGCCAACCACGTCAGACATGGTCAGAAGGTCAAACGTGATCAGGGCAGGACAGTGCCCACTGGATTTAGTCGGTAGGTGATTACTAGCAACTTTTTTTTAAATCGTGATAAAAATATATATAACATCAAATTTGCCAATTCAACATTCTTTACAAGTAAATTCAGTGACATTGATCATGTTAATCATGTTGGGCAACAATCATCACATTTATCTATCGCCATATTTTTCATCACCATTAACAGATACTCAGCACTTTCTAAGCAATGAGTCCCCCTCACTCCTCCTGTCCACCCCTGGTAACCAATTAACTTTGGTCTCTCTACACTTGCCTATTCAAGATATTTCATATAAGTAGGAAAATATGGTATTTGTCCTTTTGTGATTGAATTACCTAACTTAGCATAATGTTTTCCAGGTTCATCCATGTGGTAGTATGTATCAGGATTTTGTTTCTTTTTATGACTGAGTAATAGTCCATTGTGTGAATATGCCACTTTTTTTTTATCCATTTATCTGTTGATGGACATTTAGGTTGTTTCTACCTTTTTACTATTGTGAATGGTGCTACAAAGAACACTGGTGTACATGTGTCTGTTTGAGTTGCTGCTTTCAAGTCTTGATTACTAGCAAATTTTGCCTGAGTGATTTCAGTTTGATGTACAAGGTACAAACAAGTGCATCATGTTGGTGCTGTTGTTAGGTGCCATAGAGTCGGTTCCAACTCACAGCGACCCAATGCACAACAGAATGAAACACTGCCCCGTCCTGCGCCATCCTCATGATCGTTGCTATGTTTGAGCCCATTGTTGTCAACACTGTGTCAATCCATCTCATTGAGGGTCTTCCTCTTTTTCACTGACCCTCTACCTTACCAACCATGATGTCTTTTTCCAGGGACTGGTCCCTCCTGATAACATGTCCAAGGTATGTGAGATGAAGTCTCGCCATCCTCACTTCCAAGGAGCACTCTGGTTGTACTTCCAAGACAGATGTTCACTCTTAGGCTTAATTTAGGCTGATGTCAATATTCACAGGAGCCCTGGTGGTGCAGTGGTTAAAACACTCGACTGCTAACTGACAGGTCAGTGGTTTGAACCCACCAACCTCTCCATGGGAGAAAGATGTGGCAGCCTGCTTCTGTAAGATTAACAGCCTTGGAAACCCTATGTGACAGTTCTACTCTGACCTATACGGTCGCTATGAATCGGAATTGACTTATTGGCAGCGGGTTTGGTTTTTGGCTTGGTCAATATTCAAGCTGAATGAAACAAATCACTTTAAAAAAAAAAAAAAGGGAATGAACAAGAGAAAGATGGCAATTCCTGCCTCCTCATCTCCGCTGACCAGACTCCCCAGGCTTTGTTCAGCCATTCCTGAGCCAGTCTTGGCCTGGGCATGACACAGCCTGAGGCTGGACCATTCTTCCTTCATGACAATGATGTCTGCAGAGCTTTTTTTTTTTTAGAAACAAAAAATAAAAAAGGGAATGATTAAACTTTACAGTTCAGAAGGAAAAAAAGCAGAATATTCATTAGTTTATACTATATGATCTTAATGATATAAAATGTGCTTTAAGAAGGAGGATAAAGGCATGGGCCAATGGGTAGTGGCCTCTGATTAGTCTCTTCAGTATTTGTTTTTTCCAGCTAAGTGTGCTCTTTGATACATTCAACATTTCCCACAAAGAGCATGCATTACTTTTAAGATTACGAAAAAAAAAAAAAAAAAAACCAAAAGGTAAGGCTGGACAAAAAGTTTCAATCAAACTTGGGCAGAAGGTAAGCAGGGATAACAATATTAATGTTAGAAGAACTAGAATTCAGGGAGAAAAAAAAAGAGCGTATGCTTTTAAGATAAAAGGAGTATTACATAATGGTAACCACAGCTAATAATAAAAGCATGCAGGTACAAATCTATAGCTGCCAAAAAAACTGACAAGAAGGTGCAGAAATCACACATTATTGGGAACACGGGAAGGAACAGTCATTATAGGAGGAGATTTTAAAACACTATCATCAGGAAGACTTGAGAAAACAACCTCACAGTCTATCTAAATACACGAAACTGATGTCTGGTAGGAATTCAATTCCATGATTACAGTGTGTGGGGGCGCTTTTCAAGTGTATAGAGAACATTTGCAAAATTCAATAATACTAGTCACAAAGAAATTCTCCATAAAAAAATACATTAACTTCCTCTTCCAGTTAAAGAAGAGGCACTTCTGGGCTGGAGCAAATGTAGAGGTTCCAGCCAAGGAGGGAAGAAGGAACTCAGAGTTAATACGTCAATCTAGCTAACTCCCATCTCTTAGGTATCTAGGGGGAGGGGAAGGATGAACAGGAATTAACTGACTGAAACAAACCACTCTTCCCATTTTCTCATCCACTAAAACATCTTTAAGAGGCGCCTAGTGGCACGGTGGTTAAGGTGTTCAGCTGCAAACCAAAAGGTTGGCGGTTCTAACCCACCAGCTGCTCCATGGAAGAAAGATGTGGCAGTCTGCTTCTGTAAAGATTACAGTCTTGGAAACCCTATGGGGCAGTTCTGCTCTGTCCTATAGGGTTGCTATGAGTCGGAATTGACTTGATGGCAACATAGTTGGTTTGGTTTTGGGTTTTAGAGAGCTTCAGGGAGGGCAGTGATAGAATTCTCGCCTTCCATGTGGGAGACCCAGGTTCAATTCCTGGCCAATGCACCATTTGTCAGTGGAGGCTTCCATGTTGCTATGATGCTGAACAGGTTTCAGCAGAGCTTCCAGACTAAGACAGACTAGGAAAAAAGGTCTGATGAGCTACTTCCAAAAATCAGCCAGTGAAAACCCAGTGGATCACAAAAGTTCCATCTGCCGCTGATCATGGGGATGGCACAGGACCAGGCAGCAGTTCGTTCTGTTGCAGATGGGGCCGCCATGAGTCAGGCGCTGACTGGATGGCAGCTAACAGCAATAACAATCTTCTGTTGTAAGCCCCTTAGCTTTAAAGCGTGCACACTCACTGGCTTTCTTTTATGTCATGAGCTTGTGGGGGTTTCTCCCTGCAATGAACGTGTGAATTTCATGGCTCTGAGCCAACATAAAGGCACAGTTAGCAATCCCAACCCCATCATCACCTCAACACCATGCCCTCATCTGACAAGTCTCCAAGGACCTCCAAGAAGTTTTGTCATTGCCGTTAATTTAAATTAAGGCAGAATTCCTAACAGTGCTGAACTCCAAAGACCTGCCCACACTGCTCATTTCTACCTACAATCACACAGGCACAGCAGCCCGGATGGGAATTCTGATGGACGATGAACCGTTCCCACCACAGGGCAGAATTTCATTTTTTTTTTTTTTTGCCTTTTGTCAGAAAAAGACAATGGTGGTGTGGCTATAATGTCAGTTCTACAACGACATCCACTTCAGGTGATAATATATCAGTTACCATCAACTCCGACTCACGGCAACCCCACAAATGTCAGAGCTGAACTGTGCTCCATAGGGTTTTCAATGGTTGATTTTTTGAAAGTAGATTGCCATGCCTCTCTTCTGAGATGCCTGTGGGTGAACTCGAACCTTCGGTTAGCAACCGAGTGCAATAATCATTTGCACCACTCAGGGACTCCACTTAATGTAATAATAGGAGAAATTAATCTAGATACATAACCTGTAATTTACTCTTTAAGTCCTAGAGAACTCAAGGAACAATGAACCAGAGTTTGCCTAGATGTCTTCTCCTAAAACACCTCCCACTCCCCAGAAAAGTTCCAGGGACCAGGAGAAAACACACTTGGGCTCATGTTGGGATGGACATGACTCTCCTCCACCCCACCTCGTGTGCCTGCACCTTCCTCTTGGGAAGCACCACGCAGGCTGGCTGCCCCATACCTTCGTCACTGTCGTCATCCACCAGAATAATCTCCTTCAGCAGGTGTGTAGGCGTGTGATTGACAGCACTGTGGACCGACCGCAGGATCACCGACAGGGCCTCGTTCACAAAGATGAATATAATGGAGATCTGCGGCAAGTCCTTGGAGTATTTCAGCTCCTTGCACCTGGGGGAAGAGAGCAAGGTGAAAGCAGTCAGGAAAGATGAAGGCATAGTGCCGCAGAGGACACTAACAATACCAGCCACTCTTCACACAGATCTCCCAAGGAATTCATCCCTGGCTCCCTCTTGGCCTCTTCTTGGCTAGGAACTAAGAATAAAACCTAGGGAGGGATGCATGGCTAATAGTCTCCATGAACAACTGCCTCCTTTGCCATGAGACCAGAATATGTGGATGGTGCCTGGCTACCATTACTGAACGTTTTGATCAAAGATTCTGTAGAAGAATCCTGACCAAAAGGGACAAAATGAAGAACAGAATTTCAAATTCTCACAGAATCCAGAATTTCTGGAGCCACAGAGGCTTGATGAACCCCCTAAACTAATGTCCTGGGATAATTTTTAAACCCTAAACCAAAAATATCCCCTGATGTCTTCCTTAAACCAAACAACAGTTTAGCTTCACTAGTAAAGACTGTCTACCTTGAGCATTGTGCTCTTTTAAGAACTATCTATTTGGGATCAAACAGACAACAACTTAAAAGATTAGATAGGAACCTTAGGGGGCAGTGAGTTTATGTTAATGGGGGAGAAACAATCCAGAAAAAGAAGGTGAGAATGAATGTACAACTTGAAGAATGTTATCAGTGTCACTGAATGGTACATGTAGAAACTGTTGAATTGGTGCATGTTCTTCTGTGTATATGCTCAACACTAGCAACAATAAAATAACTTAAAAAAAAAATGAGACTGGGGGGATAAAAACCTAGGGAGGAGAGCATGAAGGATGCAGCCCCACTTCCCCCACATTGACAACCCCAATGGAAATGGGGAAGCATCAGTCTTTCACAAACAGGTATCTCCTGCCTGGTGCTTCCATGCACACCTGCCTGACTTATGACTCCCAGCACCTGGGTTTCCTTGCCCGGAGCCTGCTTGCTGCCAGCTTAGGAGACAGTTAACCCATTCCCAACAGCTCTCAACCAAAGATTGCAGGGAGTTGATGTACAAGTGCCCCAGCTCCCTCACCCCTGGACTTCTCAGGAGTAGGACTCACACTGGCTCCCAGGGTGTCTCCAGTGGGATTCAGCTCCAGTTGCCCACAGCAGCGATCCACATAACACACCCTTTTGGGAATCCCTCCCTTCTCAGTCGTACTTCCCCACTCTCCTGCAGGTGTTCTCCTTGCCTCCCAAATAAACTCTGCTGTTGTTTTTAGCTGCCGTCGAGTTGGCTCCGACTCACGGCGACCTCATGCCCCATTCTGTGCTATCTGCATGATCGCTGGTGTGCTTGAGTCCACTCTTATGGCCACTGTGTATTTTGAGCGTCTTCCAACCTAGGGGACTCATCTTCCAGCATGACATCAGACAGTCTTCTGTTGTGATCCATAGGGTTTTCATTGGCTAATTTTCAGAAATCAATCACCAGGCCTTTCTTCCTAGTCTGCCCTAGCCTGGAAGCTCCGCTGAAACCTGTCCACCATGAGTGACCCTGCTGGTTTTTGAAATACCTGTGGCATAGCTGCCAGCATCTAAGCAACATGCAAGCCACCACAGTATGACAAACGGACAGACGGGTGGTGGCCAAATAAACTACCTGCACTCAAATTTTTCTTTTCAGTGTCTGTTTCTGGGGGACCCCAAACTAAGACATCTACTGAACCTACTAAGCACCCAGCATTGCACTGGAGGCGCCTGCTCTCAGAGAGCTTACATTCTGGAAGAGGACATCCAACACACAAGCAAATAACCTTGCAAAGGAAGGGGGGTCCTCTGCCTGTGTTGTTGTTGTTGTTGTTAGGTGCGTTTTGAGTTGATTCTGACTCATGGCAACCCCATGTGCATCAGAGAAGAACTGCTCCATCGGGTTTCCAAGGCTGTGACCTTTCAGAAGCAGATCGCCAGGACTGTCTTCCGAGGCACCTCTGGGTAGGTTCAAACCACCAATCTTAAGGTTAGTAGTCCTGTGCTTAACCATTTGCATCACCTAGGGACTCTACATCCTACTCAACTCATCCTAACTCCCCTTACTGTGTTCCTAGAGTCTCTCTGGGGGTAGAAGATGGGACTGCCTGCCCAAGTGGACCTCCCTCCTAAGATCCAGCAACCCCCATGTCCCTGGAGACAGAGACTAAAGAGAAGAATCCTATTCATCCAGGACCAGAGAGCTTTGGCCCTCTCTATGGTCTGGGGCTCCAGCGGTGTAAGAGATGAATTCACAGCAGGGGGAGCTCTGCACCTCTCAGCTGTAGCAGCACCTTGACTGGGTCCAGGCAGCCCTGGGGAATTTTATCCTATGTTCAGTCCAAGCCATATCGGAAAGATCAAGCAGAAACCTAGCAGAAAGGAATACGGAGATGCACACGTTAACAAGAAGTTGTGTGAGTGTGCAGAATATGTAGCACAATGCGAGGGGAGAGAGGAACAGTGCTGAACAGCGAGAGAGAAAGACGGCTGTTCTTTACGCTGAGCAGCTTGGGCTGTGTCGGGCTGTATTAATCATGCAGGCGATTTTTGGAAGAAAATAAAGTTTTGTTACAATATACGTTGTGTCTCCTGGAGGAGGCTGCCCAGGGAGCCATTGATCACGTGGCCTCATTTTTACCATGTAGCTGAAAATTCACTTCTGGGGGCTGCCAGGGAGATTAGACTGGTTATTGACAGGCTCCTGGCAGTCAGCAGGAATTATCTCATTTACTACGTGGTGATCCCTGGCGGGGAGGGCACCCAGAAGGTCCCTCCAAGACCCCTAGGCCAGAAGCCAGCAGTCACCTGGGTCTGGTGGGGCAGCAGCCGTGTTTTGCAGCCCATCATTCATCGGCATGTGCACGTGGGCACATGGCACACATGCTGTACACCCATCTGCTCTGAGCTGGGTTCTCTGGTCCTTTGTTTTAATAGCTTCAGCTTTGGGCCCTTTCAGTTGAGTCTACGGGTGATGCAAACGGTTATGTGTGTTTGGCTGCTAACCAAAAGGTTGGAGGTTTGAGTCTACCCAGAGGTGCCTCAGGAGAAAGGCCTGGTAATCTCCTTTCAGAACATCAGCCATTGAAAACTCCATGGAGCATAGTTCTACTCTGACACACACGGGGTCGGCAGGAGTCGGAATCAACTTGACAGCAACTGATGACTGGTTATGTGCCAGAAATGGCTTGAAGCTTCTATATACTGCTTTGTCTCATTTAATCCTCACAACAACCTTATGAGGTAGGCAGTATTATTGTCCCCATTTCACAGATGAGGAAGTCGGGGCCCAGAGAGGTGAAGTCATGGGACCTAAATCACACAGCTTAGATGTATGGCTGAGTCTGAAAAGGGGCAAGGGTGCCTTGATGGTAAATTGCATCATGTGGTATTTGTATTTGGTAACTGACATCAAGTTGGCCCCCAGCTCATGGCGACCCCAAGCACAACAGAAGGAAATGCTGCCCGGTCCTGCACGAACCCCATGATCGGTTGTACACTGGACCCTTGTGATCTATAGGGTTTTCAGTGTTTGATTTTTGGAAGTAGACCACAAAGCCTTTCTTCCTAGTCTGTCTTAGTCTGGAATCTCCACTGAAATGTGTTCAGCATCATAGCAATATACAAGCCTCCCCTGACAGACAATGCACATGAGCTGCAATGACCAGGAATGGAAGCCAGGTCTCTTGCGTGTAAGGCGAGAATTCTACTATGAACCACCAGTGCCCCGTGTGGTTTTACACTCTTCCCTGGGGAGGCAGGATTTGGTGGCTGCAGTAGACAAAGTTCACACAGTTCCTAGCTGGGGGACCCTGGGTAAGTTGTCTAGTATGCCTGGGCCTCAGTTTCCTCATCTCTGCCCTGAACACCCACCTAGAAGCCTGTTCTCTGCGGCCAGCAGCACCACACCCTTGGCCCGCTGGGGCAAAGTGCAGGCTGAATTCCTGCGCCAAGCCAGGTGGGAAAATCCCCTTCAAGGGGATGTGGATGGGCAGAAGCTAGCCCCACCTCCCCTTATGTGATGGTGGGAACAAGGCACAGCTCCTAGTGTCAGGCTGTGAGTCTAAGCAGGGATTCTTGGGTGGTGTCCCCCTACCCAGGGTGTTATCATAAGCCCCTTAACTGAAGCACTCAGGCAGAGAGAGCAGGCGTGCCCCGGGGCCACAGCAGCCCATTGCAGAGGTCCTGCTGCTAACACGTTCTGCAGCTCTGTGATCCTGCACCAGGCCAGCTCAGGTGAGCCCCACCGCTCCACAGGGTCAGAAGCAAAGGGGCCGGGGGTGAAAGGTGTGCCTGTGTGGGCGCTCAGGGGGAGGGTGGGGCCAGCCCAGGGCAGGTGCCCTCAGGAGCCGAGCCCCGGCTCCAGACACCTTACTCCCTGGTCCCCTATAAGGCAAAGCCTCCCCCTTCGGTGCTTCTCTGCCATCACCAGGGCCTTCCTGGCTGCTCACCTCTCCCTTGGCCCGCAGCCGCAATGACGCCCACAGGTCTCTGCCCCCAACATCTGCCGCACCCTGGTGCAGGGAGCAGTTACCAAGCACTGCCTAAACCCTAATCGTGCTGTCAGAGTTCCAGGACGTGTCAGTAAAGCACATTAAACACGGTTAACGAGGCAGTTTGCAATGCAAGGTAGTGAATGCTAAGTGCCAAGTGGACGTTCCCACAGCACAGGTAATAGATGAGCTGAGGGGAACCGAGCCCAGGGAGATGACAGGTGAGCTGATCTGAGAGACCGATCAGACTGGCTTGGCCAAGGACACAGGGGAGAGCAGCAACGACAGCCCTTCTGAACACACGGAAGGCACTGGGTTCCTTTCTTTTCTCCTCCAGGGCCTTCCATAGGAAATCTTTCTAAGCTTGTTGAGAGACTGAACAGTCAAGAGCCAGGCCTTGGGACCACAGACTCACGTCAGCACTGAGAATTCACAGCTGGTTGAATTCTTTTCATCTTTAGCGTCTCCAAGAACACGCATCACTGAGTTCGTCACCAAAGATTTTTTTCACCGTAGACAATAGAGTCCCACTCTATCAGTGCCCGTCC